ATAACTTTGAAAATTTTAATTTTTCGATCCTTGTTTATGAAGACTTTTCTCTTTTATTTGGCGAGTCTGTGTACCCTAGGAGTTATGCATCCTTTCTTTTTTATCACCCTGTATATTTGCTTTTACAGATTATGCCATTATAAAGGAATCGATTAATTAGATTTAAAATAACTCTACTTCTCATGTCCATACATTAAAAAATTAAAAATACCGTTTCATTTAACACCTGAACGCCCTCAGTATTAATAAGTTTCATTACGGTGACTAGAATCGGAAACAAAGAAGCAGGACGTCAATAAATACGACGTCACTGTTTAATACAAATTCCGATATAATATCCTCCGTTGCGCATGCTCAACAACGACACAGATTTGCCATTGAAAGGCAGTTTCGATCAATTGTGGTTCGTCGTATAATAAATAGGTCTTCCTATTTTACAGTAGCCTTGTTTTCTCTTTTCCTTTGGGAAATATTCGCAGACAGCAGTTATTTGGTTGTAGAACAATAGTATGCGCGAAATAACACGAAATTGAGTTTATACAATAACTTGTAGATTCGATCGCATATTTTTCAAATAACAATTAAGTATACAAATACTGGTACAAACATTTATTTCTTACAATCAAAATTTCTTATAAAAAGTTACTTAAAAATTCTTGTTTTATAAAAGAATCATTATGTACTTCATTGGATTATTATTAAATTGCAATTAAACTTATTATCAGTCTACACTTTTAGACCGAAACCTATCAACACTTTTGCACACAAGTAATAATACAGTAGTCTATTTGTAACAGATTAATCCATGAAACTACAGAAAGATCGTATTACTGAAAAAAAAGAAGCATTATTGTACATTATCTTACATTTCTTCAAGAATTATAAATACGATCAACGATCGCAAACATTTGTGCGTACGAGATGTGGCAATAAAGTTTCGAGGATAATTCATTTAAAAATTTTATTTTGAAAATTAACAGATGTACGCACGCACGCACGCATATAGATTCCAACGTCAGATCCGTTGACCGTAATATTTCTGGTATCTGTTTTAATAACCGTGTTACATTAAGAGCCGTGACAATAAAATCTCGAGAATAATTTTATTCCCATCAAAATGGTAACAATGTATACAGTTAGGTGAAACTTCGCCAGAAACAAAATCATTCTCCAAACTTTATTACCATACCTCATAATTATAACGTGACTATTAATACAAATAACAGAAATATTACAATCAATGGATCCGACACTGAAATACCTGGGTACAGTCTCAAGGCGACTAGCTTGAAGGCGGTGGCCTCGCGAATAGTACTTAATTTTCAAAAATAAAATTTTTAAACGAATTACATTCTTGAAACTTTATTGTCGCACATTATATTTCAGTTTAACTGTATTCCCCGCTAACAAATCGCCCTTCATAATTAACACTCGCAAGGCGGTGCCTGGATCCATATGAATATAAGTTTTTAAAAGTTCCATCTAACTCATCGACCTATGTATCGTATTTAAGCTGGGAGTCATTCATACAGGGTGGGGCAATAACTATGTCCACTTTGAATATTGCCGTTATTTGTAATAATATGACAAAATGTTATATACAAAACTTACACGGTATAGAGGGGGGCATATTGTGACACACACATTTTCTGTGTGGGTGAAGGCATAGAGGAGATTTCAAGGTCATCTCTATTTTTTTTAATGGAATGCTATGTTTTTTTATCGCCATCTAATAGCCGGTGTTGAGACGACTTCAGCGAGCTATCATTGAAGGTCATGCAAGGTCAAATGTGGTAGTAAAATAAACTTTCTTACATTACAAGAGATGCTCGCAGTGGTGACCGTTTGCGTCAATGCAAAGTTACAATCTTCGTATCGCTGCACCACGTGCATGTCTTATCGTTTCTGAACTTATTCTCGCACATGCTGCAATTATCCGTTGTTTTATATTTTCTGGTGTAGTGGGTACTCCTTGGTAAACAGCATTTTTCAATGCTCCCCTGAGAAAAAAATCTCATGGGGTTAAATCTGGAGAACGAGGTGGCCAAGAAACTAATCCTCCACGCCCTATCCATTTATTTGGGTAAAGTTCGTTCAGTACATCTCTTACTCTCCGAACATAATGTGCTGGACAGTCTGGACACCCGGCGTACTGTACCACTACACCAGAAAATATGAAACAACGAATAATTGCAGCACAGAGATGACCTTGAAATCTCCTCTATGCCTTCACCCACGTAGAAAATGTTTGTGTCACAATATGCCCCCTTTTATACCGTGTAAGTTCTGTACATAACATTTCTTCATATTATTACAAATAACGGCAATATTCAAAGTGGACATAGTTATTGCCCCACCCTGTATAAAGAAAATTTTAATTTTCCCTCTTATTTAACAGCTCAAACTTATGTAACCCCTTCATAGAAGCTCTAATTATCTTAATTATTCTTTTACTGCGATATTAATTTAACGCAACAATTTTGCAACAATATTCAAATAAACCAGCCTCTTTGCGATGGTAGGTGTCACTCGTATTTATGTGACGTGACAGTCAAAGTATTAACAGAAAGTATTAACATGGACGTCTTTTCCAAACACATCTTCTCCCGGTGAACCAATTATATATTGGATTCCCGAACAATAAGAGTCGCCGTGCCGTAAAGAAATTGGCGCGAAGCCCGGCTCCGTTGCGCACGTGCAGGAATGACTGTGTCGGTAGCTTCGATCGTCAGGGGTCGGCATCGTACACACCGAATTGCTTTTCCCTTGTGCGTGCTCCCCGTGATGCTGGCTACGCTCGTCTATCTCCCACAGTGTCTGTTCGATTCGTGACAGAACGGGTCGCATTCACGGGCCTGTTCACCACCACGACGACACAAAACCTCTACCATACCCCAGGAAACACAGGCGTAAAGGCGCGGTAGCAGTTCAAGCTCCGTTCGGTGCCTCGAGAAACCACCGTGAGGCTGCTGACTGGTCGCGCTCGCGGGGACACGTCCATGGAGAGGGACGCGCGAAATGCAGCAAGCTCGAGTCGTCAGACCAGTGGACTCGCTCGGATCGTCCGGAGCAATACGCCTAGACAGCAGCTCCTACGAGTCGCCTAGAGCCTAGTAATCCAGGCCGCCACGCGGCCAGAGGAACGACATTTCGCTTTGGACGTGTCGCATGTCATTACACGCAGGCACATACACACACCACAGTCCAAACAATCGTTAACATTGGTCGATGATCGTTTCCAACGGAATCGTGGTGAACATCGAATCGATCACAAAGAGGAGGTGAGAAAGCGCGCGCGGTCAGTGATCGTGGAATCATCGATTGAATCACTTGGGGAAAATAGGTTAACGGTGTGCAGACGGGAAGGAGCACATTCGTCGTCGATTCTCCGTGACGGAACAGGGGAGTGGGAGGTGGTGGGTGGTTAGCGGTGATTGTAACAGGGTTGGCTCCTTGAATTCGGTGACGGCGTGATACACACACCGTGTGGAGAATGGAACGACGATGACCACAGCCGCTCCTGATACTCTCGGTGGATGTATAGACCGTTACATAATCGGTCCACGACGATGCAAAATAAGTCGGGGGAGCGCGTCGGCAAGGGGTCGATAAAAATAAGGGCGACGGTTGTTTCTTAACGGGCGTCGTTCGTGTATTTTTGTGTGTTTGTGTGTGTGTGTGTGTTCGACAATAAATCAATGGATCTGTGTGTTCGGTGCTGTGATCACCGTGCTATCGCGGGTATTTCGTATTTTAAGCGGATCGAGGATAGAATCTCCTTTTTCGTTATTGTTAAGGGTTGAAGTATTTTGTTTTGGGGCGACATAATGTGATATTCGGTAAGGAGGCGTGCGCGTTACGTTTCACCGCGAGAAAATCGGTTCGACGACGCGTTCGGTGACAATACAGTGATCTAAAATAATTTATACGAGTGAGAGAGTACGTCGTAGTGTCGTCGAAGTCAGGCTTTGCTCAAGTTTTATTAAATTCTGTGACGATTGCCGAGGGGTCTTTTGAGGACAGTCCGACAATCATAGAAGCAAAAACTGCGAGCGGCAAGAGGAGGCGAAGCCTCCCGCCGCAGAAGATTCGTCGTAAGTAAAACCACATTGTATACGAAGTTTTGTATGGCAGTAAAGTAGTACGATTAGTTGTCTAGAAAGGATAATGTGCAAAATGCAGTGCCTCCTATTCTCACAAGAGTGAATGCATTTGTTGGGCTCGCTCAGTTTGTGTATTAGCTACCAGCATGGACCATACTCGCACGAGAAACTAATTCATAGAAACTACTAAAATTCCTTTGCAGCACATTTCAATAGCTGACTTTCAATTGTTTCGAAATTTTTATCGCGACAGTTTAATTGACCAGCCAGTTTGAAATTCAAGTATATCAGTAATTCATACCCTAAGTTGGATTAACTTTGACTCACAAAGAAGGTTTTCCAACCCGCAGGTCTCAATTTTAATGGAACTTTGTGTGATTATAGAGGGCATCGAGTTATGCAAGGATCAAGTTTTTTTTATCGGCCATCTCTCACGTTAAAGGGGTGAAATCACTCCTAAAAGTTTGCCAAATTTTTCGTTCCTTCTACATATCTTCTGAACCGTAAGAGCTAGGGAGAAACTTTCAATGAGAACATGGATTAAAGACCTATCGAATTGCATAAGAAAAAATTATAATTCATATGACCTCCACGGGCACGACGGCAGCAATCGATTCTTTGGATCCAATTTTCAACTACTCTCCCACACATATCAGCCGGAATGTTAGTAATTTCGTGTTCACTATTGTTCCTGAGATCGTCTAACGCCGTTGGATGGTTGGCATAAACCTTCGACTTAAGGTAACCCCACAAGAAAAAATCCAACGGCGTCAAATCACATGAGCGAGGTGGCCATTTGACAGGACCATTTCGCGAGATTAAACGATTACCAAATTTTGCTTTTAATAAATCAATTGTTTGACCAGCTGTGTGGCTTGTGGCACCATCTTGTTGGAACTACATATCGCTGATGTCAAATCCATCCAATTCTGGCCAAAAATACTCTTCCAACATGGCACGATAGCGAACTCCATTGACCGTAACATGGCGATTATTTTCATCGACGAAAAAATACGGCCCTATCACATCTCCAGCATAAAATCCACACCATACGCTAACTTTTTGTGGATGCAATGGAGTCTCATGAAGCACATGTGGGTTTGTTGCTGTCCAATAACGCATATTCTGCTTATTGACAAAGCCATTCAGCCAAAAATGAGCTTCATCGCTAAAGATAAGTTTTTGATGAAATTCAGGATTTTCTTCAAACTTTTGCAAAACAAAATCGGAAAAGTTTCGGCGCCTTAAATGATCCAGAGGTTTCAATTCTTGGGTTAATTTTATCTTGTAAGGGTGTAGATGGAGATCTTTAAGTAAAATTCGCCATAATGTGGTCTGACAAATTCCCAATTCTTGTGAACGGCGTGGAATGGACTGGTTTGGTTCATTTTGAACTGAAGCTCTTACGGCTGCAATGTTTTCAATAGATCGACCGGTACGTTGTCTCACTGGCACAGGAATATTCAAAAGTGAATATGTTGATTCAAATTTATTCACCATCGCACGCACAGCTTGTCTGGTGGGACGATTATTGCGACCAAAAATTGGAGTAAGTGCTCTTAAAGTTGCGACTACCGACTCAGAATTTCGGTAGTAAGTTTTAATGATTTCCAAACGTTGCTCGTCCGTGAACTTTGCCATGATAAAAATGTAAACCTTGACAGACATATTGACATTGACAAATCGTAAAAAAGTTTTAGGTTATGTTCCGTATTATAAAACAAAATGGTTATGTTTCTATTGAAAAACCCTTTATATACGTATGTACATGTATAAACAACAAACATATGTGATATACCTATCTACTTAAATTATTTATTATATATTCAAGAAAATAATTTATATTGAATATATATTTTGTTTTTTTACTAATATTTGTGTCTGGAAAATTATTCCTCCTGCATACATTTTTAATTTTTTAAGTATAGCAAGTAAGCCATGCAATATACCAAAGTGTTACTTTGACAAGAAATGTAGCATTTTATCATTTATATTACCACTGACAATAATTACAAAGAATCTTTCATATTACTAATAATTCGTACATGTATACGTGTTACATATGCTACATTCTTATTTGAAAGTACACGAAACTGAAAGCTGTGCATTATAAGTAGCGACGACTGTACATACGAATTATTGGTAATATTAGAGATTATCTATAATTATTGTTAACGGTTAAATAAATGGCTTACTCGCTATATTTAAAAAATTAAAATTGTATGCTAAGGAAGAGATACCCCAGACACAAATATTCGTAAAAAACAAAATATATATTCAATGTAAATTGATTTGTTCAAAAAACTGTGAAATAACTAATTTAAAATATGTAGGTATGTCACATATATTTGTTGTTTGTACATGTTCATGTACATATGTGTGTATCTCATATATGTAAATACCTATATAATTTTTTCTTATGTAGTTCATAGGTCTTGTAATATCATTCATTTTTCCATTATAAGTTTCTCCCTAGTTCTTACGGTTAACAAGATATACTGAAAGAACGAAAAATTCGACAAAGGGGTGATTTGACCGCCCGAGAGTGAATGTCAACCAAAAAAAATTGTTGCTTGCATAAATTCGATGCCCTCTACAATTCCACAAAATTACATTAAAATCAGAATCTGCGGGTTGGGAAACATTCCTTGCCAGTCAGGATAACTTTGCCCCCAGTCAGAAAATGATAATTTTCGATTCTGTAGCTCTGCAACTTATTATATAATACTTAAAAATACGTGCAAAAGAACGGTGCTTCATTTCTGGGATAATCAAGTTTGAAAGTCTGCTCCATAGGCGTGCAATTGAATAGAATTTGGCTAACGTATCTGATCGCTACATTTCGTTTCTCCTTACTGTCAGCGCGACGCATGTAATACATGTTCCATGAATTTAGAAATTTAATTATTTCGAAAACGAAACATCGTACGAAAAATTGTTATTCTACATTATTGACTTATTTCTTCATGTATTATAATTTTGTTATCCTATCCGTGCTGGCCCACCCTGTATATCCTAAAATATAACAGATATCTCGATAGAATAAATCCAAAGTCTAGAAACAGTTAACTTAAAAACAGTATCATTGAAACTTTTTCTCATTTTAATCTGCAATTTCTACTGACCAATTTGAACTTTACTTACTGTCACACACAGTATGATGAAGATTAAAATATTAATTAAAAAAGGATGGAATTTTAATTCGTTCTGGACATTTTTGTGATTAGTGGCCCCTAATGTTACTAAATCTTTACGCAATTATTGTCAAAAAGTACTACATACATATATGTATATTCAATATAATAATTCGTGATAATATACGTTTTTTTTAAAAATGTGAAATAGGCAACCCTTGCTTCAAACATAAAAGAGAATTGAATACAATATCGACAAGAACAGGCCTAAATAATCCGATACCAATATCTTTTTATTTGTTTGAACGACCACAAGCATACACCAGATCCAATATCAGTTATAAGATACAAGGTACAGGGTGATCTAAAATGAAGCGAAGAACTTATGGGCGCACAGAACGTACATGAAGTCCTGTTCCTAGCTATTCTCATAACACAGTACAGATAATAATGCAATTATAGTGCAATCAATAAAGTGCAATTATAGGAACAGAATGATGTATGTATAACCTATTCTATGAAAATCAAAAATCGCGTACAAAACATTTGCCTGAAATTACTGGGTGTCGAAAATCAAACAAATTATTAAAAAAGGAGTTATAATCATAAATGTTATACGAAAAAAAAGCAAACTTGCATAAATAAAATGAAAAATCGATGTCGATTTTCAAGTTCTTGATTTATAAAGAATAGGAAATTTTTTAGTTTCTAATATTGGGAAGTAGGGGGAAAATCCTTTAAATCTACCTTGTTAAAGCCTTCTTAACACTAGGTTTACGGAACGCGTCATTTTGACGCATTTCGAATGCTTTCTAACCTCGAAATTCTCTATGTGGTATACCTATCTCTATAGCTATGCATTAATTTCAGAGATCATAAATTGTGTATTATATAAATTAAATTGTTTTTTAAAGAAAATCTGCGGGTTCGTTGATGCGTGCCGTGGAGATACCTACATGATAAGTGCCCGTAAACCTAGTGTTAATTAATTGTTATAGGCTTCCTAAGATATTTTTAAAAGAAATTAATAATACCTAGTTTAACAGAAAACAAAATTCAGCATTCTATACTTCTATATTCCACATGTTCTGTCTTCCTATATTCTAAACTCCACAATTCTACATTCCACGTACACATAATGAACCCAGTCGGAGTTAATGTTTTATTCTTCACAACTTCACAGATCTCAAACTTCCCAGAACCTCAAGGATCTCCGAGGCATCGGAAACTTTCCGAACATCGATAGGTGGACCCTATCGACTTCAATAAGTTGTCTACAGACGTTTATATCAATTCTCACGAAATGAATAATTATTCGTATTGGTTCTGTTACGGCCCATCTACAGGCACCTCCATCAAGACTAACGAGAGTCTAACGATTGACCTTATTGGATTACATCAGTTCGAAATCACGCCTATTGAATTCCTCGAGCTTCACGTTCGCATTTTACAGATCCATTGAAATCCACCAACTCGTAGCTACGCATAGAAATTTGTACAAATCGAGAGTGTATATTACAACTCTTGCATATTACAATTCTGAATTACTTTTAATTGGGACTGGCATGGCAACGCTTACCGAAAAAAGTTAAAGAACAAAGCAATTGACACATTCCATGCCAAGCTAGCTTTATGTGTTTTGTTTTCCAAACCGTGTGGGTCATCGGTGACCCACCCAGTATGTTCATTATGTTTATTAAATAAATTGTTCCATGATGGTTATAAAATTACAAAAGTTATTGATTCTGATCATCGTGGGTCACCGGTGACCCGCCCAGTATATTAACATTCTTTGATTTCCATTTGTCTTTGTATATTTTCACTAATTACAGATGCAAATCATCAGTTACGAAATTAAGAAAATTACATTAATTTGACAAATAAATAGCAGGAAAATGAATATGATAATGTAACAAAACATTTGATAGTCAAATTTAGGTAATGTAGGATATATATATTTTTCTACATATTACGATAAGTAATAGAACTACAAGTCAAAATGGTCAAACGAATTGTTTACAGTGTATCTTGGGATACCGTTACCATCGTGCGCCACCCGGTATAGCACGACCGCGCGGTACATTGCAACTGTTCGGCTCATCGTGGCATTGGTATAATATATGCCACGCGACGTACACCGTGATAAATTTTATTTCTTTTTAAATGTTCCAGAAATCGCTCCAACTTTTTGAGAAGCGCATTTTAAAACTGCAGGTTCAAGGAATCCAGTAATATTTTTTTCAAATTGATCCATGGGTGGCAACAGTGTCAAATTGGCCATTCGAAAATGTAATTTTAATTATTATTGTATTTGTTAGCAATAAACAAACTTTTTTACATACAGTTAAAAAAGCGTTTTCTTGGCTTTAAAATGAGAGCAAAATCAATACCCTATCTTTAAAAATAACCAAAATATTGCGGTTGAAATGATGTTGTGTCGGCTGATTTCATCCAATTTTTCAAAAATTTGACATTAAATATCTCGGAAACGGTTCGAGATAGGAAGCTAAAATTTGACATGGTTCATTTTTTCATGATTATCAACAAATTTTGTAAATTTGAAAAAAATCGGTGACTATGACCGCAATTCCCTGCACGTGTTGACGTGAAATGGGTCGTCCGTAAATGTTTGAATAAAACAGAAGAAACATTACATACTATTTACTGTTCAAAGACATAAAGATGTGTTTTCATTCATTAATTATGTATGACTACAAGTAACAGATATGATACTCATAAAAAATATTTTGTACCTCATTTTTTATCGGTAAGTGTACTTAACAGTAACAGTATAGTGAAGTACTACTTACATACTAAACTTAATAGAACCATAGTTTGAACTGATCTTGGTTCTGTACAGCACGGATCGACTAGTCCAGGGAAGTCTTCAGATTGTGTTAGGTGAACCAAAAGTTTGTTCGTATTTGAAAGAAATATGCAAACGTGAATATTAAACATTTATTTTTATATTTAATCAATAATGTATCCACCACTATCTTCAATGTTTCAATTATCTCTTTAGTGGTACGATGTTGTTTGTTTATAATTAATACGATAATTTCATCACTTTCCAACAGCGCTACGTCTACTTTATCGCGGTGCATCTTCCACAGTGAAACTTCCTGTTTAAACATTTTCGAACTACTTTTTATACGTACGATCACTCACAGCGTTATGTCCATACGCCGCACAATTAGCTGTAAGTAATATTTTTATCCTTTTGTAAGTATTAAAGCGTTATGGTGCCCCATCAATACACTTTCTGGTCTTTTATTTCCAAATATCCAATGATTCACAGACAAATATCTGTAAAGAATTAGAGAACACAACGATGTATACAGGGTGTTTCATATATCTAAGACAAGCTATGTCTTTAAAACACTGGGAAGTAGAAGAAAATTTTGTTAGGAACACTTAAATGGTTTCGTATGATGTATCACTTGGCGCATGTGTCTGCTCTCGAATTGGAGGCGTTTTAGAGATTTCAAGGTCACCTTTATTTTTTCAATCCTCGGAAGGCGGATGATTTCATTG